CAAAACACTAAACAAGCATAAACCTGCAGAGAAGTGCTCATTCCAGTTTTGCTCAAAGTCCATCATGTACCAGCAGTTTATCAAAACTAGCACACTTATTAAACTAAAAGCTAAAATGAAAGAGGACTGTATGTAGCCTTATTGTTAAATGAATGAGAGAGATATGGATGTGGCTATATCATGGTGAGCCCTGAAGTAGTAATGTTTTATTTGTAAATTACAGGCCACTGTAGACAACTAGACACAGGCCATCACTCTGATGAACACTTAACCCATGATGTTATAACAGAATGACAACCCTCAGCACAATATCTGTAAATATACCTTTGTATAACTCTGAAAACTCCATCTAAACTGTATATACATATATATTATATATTTATAAGTACTTCATTTTTATTTTCCTAATACACATCCCTTTTTCTTGGCTTGGCCAATAAAGCTGATTCTGAGACTGATTCAAAATAATTGTGATTATGATTTCTGCCATAACTGTGCAGCCCTACCAGCATGTTAATTAGCACTGAACATAAAGTGTATAATATAATAATGTTTCACTCTTAAATGTCTTTTTTTATAAAATGCAACGGAGAGGAAATCCGCTCTTTCACTGTCACAAGTTCACTTGTCTGTCACAGTTGGAAATTCTGCAAAACAAGACAGTTGCTGTTTACTGCACTGTGTCATTAAACCCTCTGAGGTTCATTACCAGAGCTAAGTACTGTGGATACATTACTCTGGAGAGCTGAATGTGGCACATCTTTCCTATCAACACTTTGTAAACAAAGTCATTAATCTAATGAGCAAAGTTAAAAACAAGAAACAGTAACCAGGCACTGGTAACCACAACGTAGTGAATTGTTGAGCCTTGCTTTGTAACAAAGTTTTCTGGGAGAAAAGATCCAATGACAAGTGACCTCCTATTCACAGCAAATGAATTACTAAAATAATTTTGGATTGGTTCTGTTTCCTAAGGTTTATGAATTACAAGACAAGTAAACAGCTTTTTATTGTATTCATGAGAAAGTTTCTTCCATCAGCTGTGACATAAGTGGGTGGCTGTGGCTCACGAGGTAGGGCGGTCATCTCCTGACCTGCAAGTCATTGGTTTGACTCCCAGTCTCCCTGCATGCCTAAGTGTCCCTGAGCAAGACACTGAATCCCGAATCTATGCACTGTACTTCCAAAATATTACCAACATGTGAACATTCCATTCAACACAGTTGTCCCCTACAAACTCACCCACAAACTGTCCACACTGGGTCTGCACCCCACCTTCTGTGACTGGCTCCTGGACTGGCAGGCCCCGGACTTGGCAATAGGACTTCAGCCAGCATTGTTACAAACACTGGCACCCCACAGGGATGTGTCCTCAGTCCCATCCTCTACACTCTGTTCACCCACGACTGTGTTGCCTCCCACAAAGACAACATCATCCTAAAGTTTGCGGATGACACTGCAGTGATAGGTCGCATCACTGGCAGGGACAAAGCAGCCTACAGGAGGGAGGTGGCTGGTTTGGTGTCTTAGTGCAAGGACAATAATCTCAGCCTCAACACGGACAAGACAAAGGAGATGATAGTGGACATGAGGAAGGAGAGGAGATCTCATCGGCCGCTGTTCATCCAGGGGCTCGAAGTGGAGAGGGTGAGCAGCTTCAAATACCTGGGCGT